AGCAGTTTAGAGATTCACTGTGGTCTAGGTTCAAGCATACTGGCTCCATGAACGATCACTGTGCCTACAGAAAATGGCGAAATGAGCTCTTGCGTGTTTGGAATTTGCATGCCCCGCTGCGTAAAGTGCGAGTAAAATGGACACATCTGCCTTGGGTTACAGCTGACCTCATTCAAATATAGCAGTTTAGAGATTCACTGTGGTCTAGGTTCAAGCATACTGGCTCCATGAACGATCACTGTGCCTACAGAAAATGGCGAAATGAGCTCTTGCGTGTTTGGAATTTGCATGCCCCGCTGCGTAAAGTGCGAGTAAAATGGACACATCTGCCTTGGGTTACAGCTGACCTCATTCAATTATAGCAGTTTAGAGATTCACTGTGGTCTAAGTTCAAGCATACTGGCTCCATGAACGATCACTGTGCCTACAGAAAATGGCGCAATGCATGCACAAAACAAGCAAAAATGACAAATGTCCAATAAATCAATCAAAATTTGAACAATAACCTATTAAACCCTAGAAACTTTTGGAAAATCATAAATAGCGTACAAACCCCCACAATCCACTCCCAACCCTCCACTGTCAACATGGACAACCAAACCCTGCAACACCCCCTAGATGTAGCAAATGCATTTAATGATTATTTTTGTTGGATGTGCTACCACCTTGGTTGCTAAGATAACGAATGACACTCATTTTCAGACCATAAATGCAAATAAGGCCCTGCGAAATCTGCAAAATACTCATATAGAGAAATTCAATTTTAGACCTGTCCCTGTTAGTGTTGGTAATAATCATCTTAATAATTTAAATTGAAAAACGAGTGTGGACCAGATCGAATCCCAGCAATGTTGCTGAAGCTCAATGTGCCAGCAATTGCTAAACCCTTCCCAACCACAATCAATTAATTCCTGGTGTCTGGATACATACCCAAACTTTGGAAGACTGCAAGAGTAGTACCTATCCATAAAAGTGGTGACAATACTTTGGTAAATAACTATCGTCCAAAATCATTGCTCACTTTATTGTCAAAATCTTGGAAAAATGCGTTCACACGCAACTAGGATTTTGTCAAGGCCTTTGAAACAGTAGACCATGGCATTCTTTTGCAAAAACTTAAAAATTCAGTTATTGGTGATCGTCCAATAGCCTGGTTTGGATCATGTGTTTCAGACCGATCGCAATATGTGGCCATTTCTGATAGCGTCTCCCTCTCTCGGTCACTTGTGGTGTTCCCCAAGGCTCCATACTCGGCCCCCTACTATTTCCTTTGTTTATAAATGATCTGTCTAACGTCTGCAAAGCTTCAACTGTACACATGTACGCAGACAACACTAGTAAATCCAATCTTACGCAGCTTGAGGCTGTGCTTTAAGACCAGTCCACAGAGGTAGAATAGTGCATTGTGGCTAACAAACTCTTCTTAAACACTGACAAAACTGTCACAATGATCTTTGTAACAGTAACTAAATTGCATAAACTGCAAAATTCCCAGCTATGTATCAGAAAAAATGCAAATAGCGCATGGACCGCAGTCTGTTCTTTCAAATATCCAGGTATGTAGCTAGACCCCCATCGATCCTTTGGCCTTCTCATTGAAAAAATCTCCGCAATACATTATCCAAATCTAGGTGCCCTGTACAGAAACAAATCCTGCCTACAGTAAGGAAACAGATAGTGCAACAAATGCTAAAGCCGGTTATTGATTATGGGGATGTAGTGTATGCACCTGCACCCCAAACCCACCTTCATAAATGTAATACATTGTATAATTCATTTTGACTCTTTGTGCTACAATGTAATTAGCTCTGTCACAATGGTGGATCAAGTAAACTGGCTATCGCTGTAATCGCGGCGCACTCTTCATCTTTCCAGCCTTGTGAATAAGAGCATTTCTAGGAAGCTCCCACCCTACCTGAGTAGAATGCTCTCCCCGGCTGTTCCACCTCCTACAACCTCCGATCCAGTACTAACACGCTATTTAGCATACCGCAATACAAAAATAAAGTGGCTCGATACTCCTTTTCCCACACAGCACCGCAATTATGGAATAACCTCAGGGACACAGTCAAATCTTCATTCAATCTAAAATCTTTTAAAAGATCTATGGCAATATACCTTAATACAGTATGTACCTGTCATGGTTGACTATATTTATTACCTGTTATGTGTTACATTTATATATGTGTATATATATATATATATATCTATATATATATATATATATATATAGATATATATATATATATACACATATATATTGTTTGTATATTGTATAATTTATTTATTTTTTGTAATATTATATTGTACCCTATTGTAACAATGCAGTGTTTGTGGACCCACATACTTGAAAACAAGACAAATCTCAATGTGTCCTTCCTGTTAAAATATTTTATAAATAAATAATCTGAATTGGAATGTGCAGTATATGATACCTCTGATAATGTGAGAACTATTTAATGTATTAATGATTGATTTAATATGTTATCACGATGTGGGGGGTTCAGTATAATATGAATGATAAGGCAATAGAAAGGACTCTTCTAGTCTACATAAAGTAGGAGAGGTTTCCAGGGCAATGGCTGTCCATTAAGGACATGCTATAAACTAAATAAAGTTATATTTTAATTTGTAATGATACATTTTTCATAAACATGTTGACGTTTACAGCTGAACCATGTTTTCAACTCAACACTTGGACATCTGTGATGGTTTTCAGATTTATCTATTCAAGCCTTGCCCATTTCAAACCATTAAAAAGATACAAGATGGAGCAGTGATTTATATTGCTCTATTGGCACGTTCTTCTACCAAACCTATCCCACCCTCTCCGAACACCTTGTTACACTCACTCTACGTTACCCTCCTTTTATCACTTCCCAGCAGTAATGAATCAAGTCCACAGCGAGCAGCTTCTTCTCGATAAGCTTTTACACCATCATATTACAGCCACTTCGCTGTGATAAATCACACAAAAGAGCTGCACTCCAGAGGTGCTCAACAGAAAAAAAAAGAATATTATTAATAAGATTTCACTCTTCTACACGGACCTTTGTCCTTGACGTCTTCGCATTGCCTCGAACACTAGACAGATGTTCCATTTTCAATAATTAGAACTGAGACAAAGGCTTTGATTGTAGATTAAAGAAATTTTATAATAATACATTTTATGCTTTTTTTTTGTTTTTAATTGTTTGCTTGCTTTTTAACCTTTTTATCTTATTGTATTTTCTATCATTTTTATTTTTTTTAAATTGCACTTTCCTGTAATACTTCATATTTTTGCGAGTAGCCTTGAAACTACGCTTTTGTTCGAAAATACCTCGTGGCAGATGACAAAGAAAAAAAAATATATATATATAAAATCATTGTGGTTCTATAGACCTAGGATTCAGCATTTAATTTATATTTTTGCTTTGCTTTATCTTTGAAGATATATAGCATTTTGTGCTGGGAGGTTAACACCGCCTTGATTGTGCTCCACTAATTGCTGCGTTTGTCTTCGAACATGTCGCTGACATACATTATATAGCATATCACTTATGAGATGAAAGCGGCAGATTTAGTCGAAGCCATGAAAGTATTGTTGCACTGTATCAATTAATGGATGACATTAATCTTGCGTTTTAAAGCTTTTTCTACGAATATACAATTTAAAGAAAATGTATAGCCAAAGAGGAATGGAAGAGAGGAAGAGGAATGTTGCTCTAAATCACGGGTAGCCTTGAGACTACAAAACCAATGAACCAATGTCCATAACCCTGCTGTAAAATATTGAGGCATAGGCAAACAACACCATTATCCCTAGCCTGTGTGTATATACAGCAGCTATGTACCAAAGGGTTAATTATTCACTAAACAACTACTTGTACTGATGGGATAACAGGACTGCTAAACAAAGATTTAGAAAGAAAGATTGCTTGAAGTGTAAATTCCAAACCTGCTATTTTAGCCTTTAATTTACTGTTTGCTTTTTAATTTGCCATTTGATGACTGCGTCGCGGCCCTTGTGTGAGAGGTTTACGTTTTTTTTAATTGTTGAGGAGCAAAGAGCTACTTTAGATGCAAGTCGACTTACCTCTAGGCTGGGCAAGTGTATTAATGGATTAAAGCAAGTTTAAGCGGTTTAAGCTCCTTGTGAAGAAAGGTCTAAGATTTCTTCCCTTTTTGATAAATAAAACATGCAACATCTCCAATTCAGGGGGAGGAGGGTAAGGTGTCAGTTCAACAGAGTTAATCTTAGCCCTATGTCCCTGCGCTATCCAAGATTAACTCAGCAAGCAGCTGTCAATCATCCACTAGAATAGTCGCAAAGCATGCGCTGGCTGGTACAGGGGTGAATGTAGACAATGGGGGTGGGAGAATATCAGAGCACTCTACAGGCAGCTGTTTGTCATGACAGTATGCTAGAGCTGCAGCCTATGTATTTGGGATCCTATCAATTCCCTTGATAATAGCGTTAGGTGACACACACATTATTGAACGTGTAATTCAGGACAATTACTGTGGGTTTGCATGAGAGAATACATGAGGGAAAAATCAATTATTTCCTTAGAAAGTCGTTATTCAAAACAGTGATTACCCTTTCGAGATTCGAAAAAACCCCATTAACCCCTTAAGGACACATGACATGTGTGACATGTCATGATTCCCTTTTATTCCAGAAGTTTGGTCCTTAAGGTGTTAAAGTTACTAAAATATTATATGGTCTAAGATCGGGTGAAAGATTGCTTAAGAAAAGGGGAACAAAGTAAATTATCTGTGTATTTATGTACCTATTTATGTATCTATCTATGAATGTATCTATGGAAGTATCTATCTATCTGTAATATTATTTCCTTTATTTGCAGTACCAGTTTTGGTCTTACCCAGACCTCTCTCATGTTGACAATTTATTAGTGTAGAGTAAGACACATTTTGTGTTAATTTAAATATTTATTTGCTGCCATGGAAACACTGTATTGTGCATACTGTAATGTTAATTCTGAGAATGACAGACAGTTCCAATATGTAGCAACCCGTGACAGGAAATACCCCCAGCAGGTGATTTGGGCACACGGGCTGTGACCCCGATGGGGGAGATTTATGGCATGGTTTGAAAATTGATGCAAAGTTGTAAAAGTTGAACAATCGTCATGGTAATCAGCTTGCATATTTCTTTGGTGATTATTCGACTTTCACAAATATATGTAACACTTTTCTACCATTACACAGCTGGTACATTTAGAGACATGAAAAGGGAAATTGAGGGGCACACCAGGAGCATGCATTTCTAAGTAGTTTTGCTTTCGTAGAGATCAAAATATATCCAAAATACAGATTAAGGAACAGCACACACAAAAAAATACAGTTTTACATTTCACAAGGTTAATTCAAATCACCTTTTTCAGCAAACAAATATTGGGATTAAATTCCGCCATATTGTGTTAAGCCCACCACTATGTCACAGTACCTCAATATCGGTGGGTCCTTCGGGAGACATAAACATGCAGAGTCACATAATAACGTCTTGTGACACTCAGTTTTCAAACAGTCCGACCGAACAACCTGACAGACCAGCTCTGTCACCTAGTTTTGGACAGAAAGTACCATGCAAGCACACGGTTACCTGCAACAGAGCATTAAATCCCAGGGGTAACATCCTGATATAATAAGCATCATGCACGCTCATGTAGAGACTCCACCCACTTCTCGCTTAAACGATTTATTGCCACCTAAGCTCACTACAGTTAATAAAGTGCAAAAAAAAATAATCACTCCCCATTCTTCCTTTTGGTAGCACGTTTTCTAAAATAAATTAGTAAATAAAAACATACATACAGAAATAAATAATGCATAGTCTTGGTTAGTAGCGGTTTTATTGCAGCCCTGCAATAAGCATTTTCCATAACGGTTACCCATGGGGGGGTCACCGTGTGCTAATACTTTATATGTTATAAGAATTCTTGGTTACAGTTAAGTACCATTAAATTAAGAAGATATGAAGCTGTTTTCCCATTTAAAAAAAAAAGATGTTTCACTGTGAGATTTTTGAACACGTTGTAGAATCACGCCTATCAGCAGCAGCAGAGTATTTCAGCATTGTCTAGATAACACTGCAATCACACCATTGTTGGGCTCCAGCCGTCTTGCCAAGCAGTTTTTAATAGATTTTCCACCAGTCTCCAGAATGTGGCAGGGGTCATTGATTCTTGTTAGTTTTGTGTTCCTGTGGAGCAGATACTAAAATGAAATGCCTGTTATTCACCGTGGGAGATCCTTCTTGCCAATTACAATCTCACAGGTGCACTGAGAGATGGGATTGTCGCTAAGCTTGTGACCCCTTTTCTGTGTCCCTGCGTCCGTCGGAGCCCAACACGATATCACACTGCTCAGAGACCTCTTGGCTCCATCAGTCCAAAAGGTTGAGTCGCCATCTCTGTGTGTCTCGTTAGGCAATGCGAAAGGCATCGGGCACACATACACACGGATTAATGGTGCTACTTGTTATCATTTCTTGAGTGTGAATTTATACCTGAAGCCTTTTCATATACCAGGCTCGTTTCTTTGTTCACACTGCAGGGTCTTACAGGGTTTTAGAGACTAGGATATTTCCAGAGCAGACACAACTGACTAGAATCCTTTGGGGTTTATTCAAGAATCAGTGTATTGAAGTCAATTTAAAACTGGATCGAGACATTTAGACCAAAATAGCAGAAATATATTCATTGTAGCCATAAGTACAGTTTTCAATCAATATAATACACAGTACCTCTGTTTTCCTCATGTTTTCCTCAATTTGTTAAATGTCCACAAGAGAAATTGTTCAAATTGTGCTTCTCCAGAGAGGTTCTCCCACATAACGTCATGTATTCTAACCCTCTGTTTAGCAAACTAACGGTATAAATTATAATAGATTGGGTTCGGACTTTTGAGGTTTGAAAATCAATTCATATTCCGTATTAAATCATTCTCTCTGTACATACACACATAACATATACCCGTCTTGTAAGTGCACATATATTCAGAGTTATTCTCAAAAGTATGATTGGTTGGGATTTAGAAGTGAAGTGATTTTTTTTTTTTATTTCAGGACAGGATAGTTTAAATAAACAGGGCTAAAGTGAAGATTCAAAGTGAACTTTAATTTTATGGTTAAAATACTCTAACTGGAAAAGTTATCAAAATCACTTGCTTTTACTTCAGCAACTTTAACCCCTTAAGGACCAAACTTCTGGAATAAAAGGGAATCATGACATGTCACACATGTCATGTGTCATTAAGGGGTTAAAAACCTAAAATTTGAAATTCACTTTGAAATCACTTTGAATTCTCACTTTACTAAATAACCCTGAAAGACATTGGGCTTGGACACATTTTTCTAATTGGCTGTTTTGAACCAAGATATAAAATTCACTTTGAAAGTGTACAAACATACAGCCTTTCTCATGCATATTCTCTTTCCTCGACATCCATACAGACATAAGCACAGTCTTCTACTTGTACAAAATGACCACACGGTACCGGGGATAACTGGCTATGGCCACTATTTAATATTTTCAGATAAGCTTATTAAATGATTTAATATTTTTGGATAAAGTTGTAATATATATATATTTTAAATATGACAATATCAAAACATATCCCTAACCACAAATATTACAATATTTATTAAATATTAAATCATTTCAAAAGTTTATCCAGAATTGGAAAGGAGGCGGGTACTCTCAAATTATTGGTAGGTCCATCCAGCGTAAATGCAAGTCAGACTGCTTGCCAATCAAGTACCGAGGGCAGACCATGCAGGGAGCAATGATTTAGACTTGACTTGGAATCTTAAATTTTGATGAATTGCGACTAGACTGAACCTAATCAAAGAAGAATTGTGACTTGACTTTTGACAGCAATGACTTAAGACTTGACTTAAAAAACTGGAAAATACCTTCTTAGGTCAGAGTTGTGATCAATCTAGCCCTAGAGAATGACAAAATAATATATTAAAATTACAGTGAGGTGAAAAAAGTATTTAATCCTCTTCTGATTTTGAATGTTTGCCCACTGACAAAGAAATGATCAGTCTATAATTGTAATGGTAGGTGTATTTTAACAGTGAGGGACAGAATAACAAAAAAAAAAAATCCCAAACAATGCATGTCAAAAAAGTTATAAATTGATTTGCTTGTCAATGAGTGAAATAAGTATTTGATCCCCTATCAATCAGCAAGATTTCTGGCTCCCAGGTGTCTTTTATACAGGTAACGAGCTGAGATTAGGAGCCATCTCTTAAAGGGAGTGCTCCTAATCTCAGCTCATTACCTGTATAAAAGACACCTGTCCACAGAAGCAATCAATCAGATTCCAAACTCTCCACCATGGCCAATACCAAAGAGCTGTCAAAGGTTGTCAAGGACAAGATTGTAGACCTACACAAGGCTGGAATGGGCTACAAGACCATCGCCAAGCAGCTTGTTGAGAAGGTGACAACAGTTGGTGCGATTATTCGCAAATGGAAGAAACACAAAAGAAGAAACACAAAATAACTGTCAGTCTCCCTCGGTCTGGTGCTCCATGCAAGATCTCACCTCGTGGAGTTTCAATGATTATGAAAATGGTGAGGAATCAGCACAAAACTACATGGGAGGATCCTGTTAATGATCTCAAGGCAGCTGGGACTATAGTCACCAAGAAAATAATTGGTAACACACTACGCCGTGAAAGACTGAAATTCTGCAGCGCCCGCAAGGTCCCCCTGCTAAAGAAAGCACATGAACAGGCCCGTCTGAAGTTTGCCAATGAACATCTGAATGAGTCAGAGGAGAACTGGGTGAAAGTGTTGTGGATGAGACCAAAATTGAACTCTTTGGCATCAACTCAACTCGCTGTGTTTTGAAGGGGGAGGAATGCTGCCTATGACCCCAAGAACACCATCCCCACCGTCAAACATGGAGATGGAAACATTATGCTTTGGGGGTGTTTTTCTGCTAAGGGGATAGGACAACTGCACTGCATCAAAGGGACAAAGGACGGGGCCATATACCATCAAATCTTGGGTGAGAACCTCCTTCCCTCAGCCAGGGCATTGAAAATGGGTGGTGGATGGGTAATCCAGCATGAAAATGATTTACAATACACAGCCAATGCAACAAAGGAGTGGCTCAAGAAGAAGCGAATTAAGGTCCTGGAGTGGCCTAGCCAATCTCCAGACCTTAATCCTATAGAAAATCTCGGAGATTTAGAGGGAGCTGAAGGTTTGAGTTGCCAAGTGTCAGATGTGTGCAAACCTGGTGGCCAAGTACAAGAAACGTCTGACCTCTGTGATTGCCAACAAGGGTTTTGCCACCAAGTACTAAGTCGAAGGGATCAAATACTTATTGCACTCATTGGAGAAATAAAGTAAACAGAGTGCAGGTCAGGACACTAGGGGAACTGGAACTTAGATGCTAGCTAGTACTCCAGACAATTGATCCCTTGGGCACTGTTTAGTAGATCTCCCTTTTTTTCAAGTTATACTTTTTGTTTGCATATCCCATTTTATCCTTAGATTGATTAAAGGTAGGGCCTCCCTTCCTCATTTCTTATACAGTGGAGCTCTCCTGATGTTGGTTTCCCCTTGTGGGACTCTACACATCACCTACTCCTATTATTTCACTCATTGACATGTAAATCAATTGATAACTTTTTTGACATGCGTTTTTCTGTTTTTGTATTTGTTATTCTGTCTCTCACTGTTAAAATACATCTACCATTAAAATTATAGACTGATCATTTCTTTGTCAGTGGGCAAACGTTCAAAATCAGCAGGGGATC